AGTTGTTAAAAACAGCTTCTTCCACCTCAGGCAGCTAGCCAAAATAAAGCCTTTTTTAAATAGTGACCTCTTTGAAATGGTAATCCATGCCTTCGTCACCTCCCGCTTGGATTATTGTAATGCACTATATATGGGGATAAGTGCATCCTCCCTTGCTCGCCTGCAGATGGTACAAAATGCAGCAGCACGGCTAGTAACTGGCACACGCAAACACGAGCACATTTCCCCCTTGAGGATTCATTTTAAAACTCTTTTATTTACTTTTAAAGCCCTCAATGGCCTGGCCCCCGCCCTACCTCTCTGAGCTGTTACACAGCTACACACCCACTCGCACTCTCAGATCAGCTGATCAGTTGCTCCTGAGGGTGCCAAAAACAAAGTCTAAGCGCAGAGGGGACCGTGCTTTCTCTGCTGCCGCCCCTAAACTGTGGAACAACCTGCCCTTGCTCATCAGACAGGCTCCCACACTGTCTGCTTTTAAATCCCGTCTTAAAACCCACCTCTTCTCCTTAGCATTCAGAAACAAGTAGATTGTTGCTTTTATTTGCTTTCAGTGGTCTATTGTTTTTATTATACGGTTGCAGTGGCGGCTGGTGGAAAATATTTTTGGTTTTAGGGGAGAAATTACCCCTTAAATTAGGACTTCTGGTGATGTAATGGCGCGTTACGCGATGCGAATATTCGCTTCGCTCTAAACGCTCCTATCGCATCGCTCTAGTCGCTCGAGTTTCACCGCGGCTGCCAGCTGTGTTTACTCGCATCATTCAAACAAGACGTGCTGGCTCGGGAGCTACAACTACAACAAAATGAACATATTTTACCGTGATTAAATTGTAATACACGTTTCTAAATGATGCCGACGTAACAACATACTGATACCGGTTAGTAAAAACCATGAATTAATGCTTTGACAAGTCTGCAGACAGACGGCAGGCGAAAACCCTTTTAGAATGCTTGTTTTCTGAATGGAGCTTGGCTAAGCTAACGTTATATATGCTCCGACCATCCACACTCACAACAACGGCCTATACAGACATAAATAAACCAGCGACTGTATTCTCCATGATACAGACAGTCTGTGGTTTGTACTTGTTTAACTTTTGTCTAGTTTCTGAACAGATCGTATCTGTCCCCGGCTGTTTGAAGAGCAAGCATGGGAAACAAAAGACAGCATTTACCTGTTTGCATCCAGCTAGCCATGCCTTTCTGGTGTACCAGCTACGTGAGAAGCCTCGTTGATACGTTTTGTCTTTTTCACGAGCTTGCTGCGATATATACAAATCGGGTTGGTCCGGTCCAAGGTCTTTAAACAACAGTTTATCTCCCAAACTTCTCCTTTCGAAAGGATTGGAGATTAGCTCTTGAACGGAATTGGGCGGGGACCGAGGTCCGGTGACTCCACCTGCACACGAAGCCATTCTCATCCAACTCATCCAACACCTTGGTCACTCACGAGTCTAAAAAACAACTCACGTCAACGCACGTAAGCAACGTGGGCGCCAACGTGAGCGCCCTCGTGACCAAAATATTTGACGGCGCTGATTGGCTGAAATTATGTTTCGGCGGCACATTTACTATTGAGAGTTTTGCAACGTGCTGGTTGCTGCTGTTTGGCTCGGGGGCTCCGCCCGGTAATGATAAACTAATGCCATGGGCAAGGCCAGGCAGGAAACATGTGACTTATCAGTAACTTTAGACATCGTAACACAATTTTAAACGATATTTTATTGTAGATTATACATTTTACTGATACCAATTGTATGATATTTACCTTGATCATTAAAAATAAAAATATAAAATATATATATTTTTTAAATATATTTTTTTTAAATATTTTTTTTTAAATCTAATATATATATTTATTTTTTTTGTATGTGGGAAGAGGTGGGGCGGAGCCCCTATGGGCCGGCCGCCACTGTATGGCTGGTATTTATTTTTTAATTATTAAGTTTATACTGGTTTGTTTTGTGTTTGTATCTTGTATTTTAAATGTATTTATATTATGTTGTGGGAGCTTATCTCTCTGTACAGCACTTTGGTCTGAAGGTTTTAAAGTGCTATATAAACAAAGTTGGATTGGATTAGGAGTTGAAGGCAAGAGTGAAAAGGTGAGTTTTGAGGGATTGTTTTAATGATGTGAGAGTGTTGGCGGATCTGACGTGGCTGAGGAGGGAGTTCCAGAGTGTGGGGGAGGCTGCTGCGAAGGCCCTGTCACCCCAGGTTTGGAGCTTTGTCCTGATGGGCTGCAGTAGGTTAGCTTCAGTAGACCTGAGGCGACGGGTGGGGGTGTGTCGTTGGATGAGGTCACAGAGGTAGGGGGGGGCAAGGTTGTTGAGGGCTTTGAAAGTGAAAAGTAATATTTTAAAGTCAATGTGGTGTTTGATGGGGAGCCAGTGGAGGTTGTGGAGGATGGGGGTGATGTGGTCGGAGTGTCGGGTGGAGGTGAGCAAGCGGGCCGCTGAGTTTTGGACATATTGAAGTTGTTTTAGTGTGAATGCAGGTGATCCAAAAAGTATGCTGTTGCAGTAATCCAGTCGGGATGTTATAAAGGCATGGATCAGAGTTTCAGCAGCGGTCGATGAGAGGGAGGGTCTGATGCGGGCGATGTTCTTTAAATGGAAGAATGCGTTTTTTGTGACCTTGTTGACGTGAGGGAGGAAAGTGAGGGTCGGGTCGAGAATGATGCCAAGGTTACGGATGTGAGTGGAGGGGTTGACAATGGAGCCATCGATGGTAAGAGAAAAATATTGGGTTGAGCGGGTAAGTGAGTTTGGGCCAATGATTATAAGTTCCGATTTGTCACAGTTAAGTTTTAGAAAATAGTTTTGGATCCAAATGTTAATGTCAGTGAGGCAGGTGCTGAGCTGGGAGTGTGTGGTTGGAGAAATTGATTTTGTTCAGCGGTAGAGCTGTGTGTCATCAGCATAACAGTGGAACTGGAGTTGGTGTTGACGGAGGATTTGTCCAATTGGAAGGATGTAGATGAAGTACAGAACCCTGAGGGACGCCATGATTGACGGGGGCTGTGGGGGATTTGGAGTTGTTAATTGAGATGAATTGATGTCTGTCAGAGAGATAGGATTTAAACCAGGAGAGGGCAGTACCGGTAATGCCAATGGAAGACTGGAGGCGGTTGATGAGGATGGAATGGTTGATCGTGTCAAATGCGGCTGTTAGGTCAAGGAGAATGAGAATTGAGAGGGAACCAGAGTCATTAGAGAGGAGAATGTCGTTGGTCACCTTGAGTAGGGCAGATTCTGTGCTGTGGCGAGTACGGAAACCAGATTGAAAAGGACATGAGCCATGTCCGGTCTCCGTTAGGCAGGGTGATGCGCAGCTTGGCTGCGAAGAGGAGAGCCGGCTTGTACCCGCACTTGTACAGCTCAGCCATGGGGCTTCTGTACACGGCGCACTGCTTTAACACGTCGGGGCTGTAGTCATCATACAAGTGGATCTTATGGCCTTTGTAGTTCAGCTCACCCTGCCTGCGGGCCTCACGGATCACTAGGTCCTTAATTTGGAAGTGGTGGAAGCGCAGGATTACAGGTCTCGGTCTCCCTCCTGGGGCAGGCTTGGGCGCGAGGCTCTGGTGAGCTCGGTCAAGCTCGGGGGGTGAAGCAAGAATCTCCGTGCCGAGGGTATCAACGAGGAGTTGAGAGAAGAAGGCAGACGGACGGGGACCTTCGATAGATTCAGGTAGGCCAATAATCCGAAGATTTTGGCGTCTGCTGCGTCCCTCCAAATCTGCTACCTTAGTTTTGAGTGTCTCGTTGTCCCCCTTCAGAGCGGAGCATGCGTTCTCAAGTTGCTGGAGACGTTGGTCGACTTCATTAGCAATAGCTTCCAGAGAATGTATACGCTGCCTGTGATAGTGGAGTGTATGTTGTCCAGGGTAGATGTCAGAGACTCGAATGAGGATTTGAAATCAGCCGTGAGAGCTGCTCTATGTCCATCCAGTAGCAAGCTAATGTCTACCAAAGTTCGCCAAGTTTTTTTTTGTTAGTGCCTTCCTCAAGGACACCTCCGCAGTGACCAGGACTTACTCTCGTTCCCAAGCCCAGTCTCTTCAGTCTGAGCTACTTCACTTTATGTTTTTTACAGTTCACTCTAGTTTTTTGATATTTGTATTGATAATTCTAGATGCTAGATGTCTCTTGGATTATTCTGCACTTCTGGTTTCAGTTTAAACAACGTTTCATTGTCTGAGTGTTTGTCCTCTTATCTAAGGGAAGCCAAAGCCATGAGTATCTGGAGACAGAGACCCGCTCCAAGGACGATGGTGCGTTCAGGTTCTCCTCTGATTGTCCCTTTTACAGAGTTGGGAAGTCATTTTTCTAACTTCAGTGTTTGAGTTTAATGGGGACAGTACAAAGTAGATGTGTCGAATTACAGAGCAGTCGGAAACATCTTTTTCATATTTTTCCAAAACCACATGAATGCAGCACAAGCTAACTTGCATGTGAATGAAATGTGAAATACTTTGTTTTTCTACCTTGTGATTCAGATCCGTTCATTTTCTTCCTCGGCCCAAATTCTTCTACTTATCTTCAATAACACAGTGCCCTGTCTGCCGAAAGTAACTCCTTGGTGGAGTTAATAAGATATAATCATCATCATTAAATAAAACAAAGAAAAGTCACTTTACTTTCAGACTCTGAAAGTCACTCTGCTGTATTTCTTTCTGTTATTGCTGATTGTATTTTGCACATTAAAGATGCAATTTATTACAAAACCTAAACAGAGTTTTTTGGGCTTATGCCCTTTCTTTAACTGATCCTAAATATGCAGCATATTCCAATACATACAATTAAGTAGGTTTTTTTCTTTCTCTTTTATTGTGTAACTTATTTTCTTTTCACTGTCTGTTCCTTTCCCTCTCTTTGTCTCTGCTCATGTTTGGCAAACAGGAACAAACTTGGCAGAGAACCAGAACCCTCCTCCTCCTCTCCCTCTGTCCTCCTCCCTCTGCCCTCCCCTTTTCTCCCCCTCTGTGTGTTCATTCAGGTCTCAGTCGATCAGCCATCAGTTCTCCCTCTCTTTGTCTCTCTCTATTGATCATGTCCAGTGTGAGTCTGCTGTCTGTTTATCTGAGCGGAGCCTCACTCATCCTGCTGACTGCTGGTGAGTCCTCTGACTGTGTGTGTGTGTGTGTGTGTGTGTGTGTGTGTATATATATATATATATGTGTGTGTGTGTGTGTGTGTGTGTGTGTGGCAGCTGTTCAACTTCCTGTTCACTCAGTGTGTGTGAGAGTTATGGTGAATGTATTTTACAGTTTAACTGTAACATGACATGTGTAGCCCCTCAGACTGGTGGCCATGTTGGAGCCCCCCCCCCCTTTCTCTCTTACTATCTCTCTCTATATACATATACTATATACTATTAAACATTTGAAGCTAATGTTTACTGTTGTAGATTGGATTAGTTAAAAATAACATTTAAAGAAAACATTGATCAATTAGAAGTTCTGCTAAAGTGATCTAGTTAGCTTAGCATATAGCATGGGATCAGAGGGAAACTGCGAGAATCAGGGCCGTTTCTTCCTATATGCGGACTATGTGGGGGCATAGGCCCCCCGCACTAGGGGGCCCCCAAGCTGAAAGTATTTATTATTATTATTTTTTTTTATTCATCCAAAAAACAAAAAAAGTTTAATTCATACACACAAAGATGAACACAATTAGTAGAAGTGGGAGGGCTGAAGCATAGCTTGTGGAAAGTAGCCCTCCCGTGCATCATCCTAATACAGCGACATTATTGCGTCAAAAATGTATAGAAATGAAGAAGTACAAAGAAATAAATAAAACAGGAGAAAAAATTAAATAAAAGTTAGGGCAGGAAAACAATAAATGCATATATATATATATATATATCTATACGAAAACTAGATATAGGGTCATTTTCTGCACATGTCAATAGCAGTTTCAACTATCTTTTTTTGGAAACACATGTGCTTGGCAAATTAATAATAATAATAATAATAATATATGCATAATTGCATATAAACATTGTGAACACTTATTTTCAAGTGACTTTTTTACATTCATATGTTCACGCTGTGGTTTGGAACTGCTTTTGATTGTTATTAGGCATTTTCTTATGGAAAATGTTGTGCATAATCAGTACCGTTTTAAGCTGTACTATCTCAACACATTTTAATAGATTGAGTTTTTTTAAATATGGGAGTTGTGTGTTCATATTTACCAACACCACAGACTATTCGTAATACTTTTTTTTGGGATGTTATTATTCTTTGTAGATTTGTTGAGTACGTGTTTCCCCATATTTCGGAGCAGTAGTAAAGGTAAGGGAGAAATAGACTGTTATAAAGAGTATATTTTCTTCAAGAATGTTCTTAGTATGATACAAAATACCTATTGTTTTTGACAGTTTAGTCTGTACATAATTTATATGGTGCTTCCAATTGAGTTTTTCGTCAACAAGCAGTCCTAAAAATGTACATGCACCAACTTTTTCTATCTCTGTATTGCAAATCCGTATAATGCAGTCATTTCTACTCTCAGACTTTGTATTGAATAACATGTAATTTGTTTTGGCCACATTAAGGGATAATGTATTAACTGCAAACCAGTTACATAGTATTTTTAATTCTGCATTCACAATTTTAACAAGATCGCCAAGATTATGATGGAAGCAGAGAATTCAAAGTTCAGGTTCAGCCTCAATATATTTGGGGAGAATTAAAATGAGCCATCTTTATTTGTAGACACCCAAGCCCCCTCCTGTGTTGTTCGGTGAAGCATTATATGCTTACAAATCCAATGTAGGATATAAACACGACTAAACTGCAATGGTAGCAAAGCTGTGGCTTGGGTTTTTGGGGTAATAAAGTCCAAATCATCGTTGGGCTGACAGCCAATGAGTGACGTCTGAGGAAGATGAAAAATGTAAATTAAAAATTGTTGAGAAAATGCTGCATCTCTTGCATTTATTGACATAGTTGTTGTTTACCTTTTTAATATCATTTTTTGTAATTTTCAAATGCTTGGTTTTCGTGAAATTAGCCTGTTTTCCTATTAAAGTGTAACAGATTGATGCATCTCCACAGATCATCTTAAAGGCTTCGGAATCCCCCCCATTGTAGTTAAAAAACTGTCAAAACTAGGGCCCCCAAACAGCATCTTGCATAGGGCCCCCAAAAAGCTAGAAACGGCCCTGGTTAGAATGTTGTATTTTTCATATGAAACCAAATAACTTCTCTAGGTTTATGCAATAACACGGTTTGGTTAGTTTAGAAGTGACACGTTTAGATTGTTGTTTGGGTTAAATGAGCTTCATTAGGGGTAAAGTCAAAATGAATCTATGCTGTTTGTTTTAAACGGGACGTGAACCTTGCTGTCCAAGAGGAAATGTTCTCACACATTTAATAAATGGTCAAATAAATGATCATCAATCTGTATTAAATATGATGAAAGCAGTTGAATCTGGTCAGCTGACTTTAATGAGCCTCCGATGGTGAGTTGTTTACTTTGTTATTTATTGAATGGGGATTTTTTTGTAGGGAACTATATCATAAATGTCACAGAAGAGGAGATTTTGCAGATTTGTCTTGCAGCACGGATACTAATATTGAAATGTAATTTAAAATCAACCAAGGCTCTGAAAGAACCTGGAAGTAGAGGAAAGGAGAGGAAGTGTTTCCTCCTCTCCTTCGTTCCTGTCCTCTGTAGGAAACGTCATTGTCTCTGTTTGGGCTCAGCTTTGATGCACAGCTGCTTTCTGTAAAGTGTTCCTGAGAGTCATGTGACTCTGCCAACAAACACCCCCACATGTTACTGCCCCCCCACGCTCTTATTTTCTTAACTTCCTTTTACTCTCCTCCACTTTGTTCCTTTCATTCTCCCTCATTTCTCTTCACCTGGACTCTCAGTGATTGACAGTCTGTTGGAGATAACACACTTCCTGTTTGGTAACAATTAACAGCCCGCCCCCTCAGTTCACATCAGCCCTCAGTGTGTTTGGGGGGGGGTTATCTGTTTGTGTTTTCAGAGCAGTATGGTGTTAAAGGGTCAGTTCACCCAAATCTCTTGAGACCAGAAAAAAAATGCAGATTATGTTACAGGACAAGAGCCTCATGCTAACATGTTAGCCGTCTGAGGTCAAAGGTCACAAACAAGGCGCTGACACATCAGAATTTACATGTGTGTGTGTGTGCGTGCGTGCGTGTGTGTGTGTGTGTGTGTGTGTGTGTGTGCGTGTGTGAAGGGAACAGAGAAGAAGAAGCAGGAAGTTGTTACCTGCAGATTTGAGTTTAAGTATAAAAGCAGATGAACGCCCAGCAGCTGTTTCACTGCAACATCCTGTATTTTTGTAAAAGTACTCTATTTAAGTGAAAGTACTGTATTTAAGAATAGTAAAAGTACTGTATTTAAGTGAAATTACTGTATTTAAGTAAAGTATCAGTACTGTAAACAATAAATAATAGTCTGTGTGAACCCGGACATGTTCAGTACACTAAAGTGTTATGTTAGAAATGTATAGTAGGGTCCCCAGCACATAGAAACTGCTGGATGCTAACTTGCATATGTTGGGCAATTTGCACAATTAGCATACATTGCGTTGTGGAGTGATTAGGCCTGAAACCAGATTGAACCGGAGATAAAATATTATAAGTATTGAGATAATGTGACAGTTGATTATAAATTATTTTCTCCAAAAATTTGGAAATAGAGCAGATTATAGATATTGGTCTATAATTATTTGTATCAAGTAAATCACCACCTTTATGCAGTGGAATGATGCGTGCACATTTCCAAATAGTCGGCAACTCACAGGTGGACAAAGACAGGTTGAACAAATCAGCAAGTGGGTACATGAGAATATGGGACCATATGTGTATACCCAATAGAAAACGGGTTGCAATTGCCCTCTGGAAGCTGGCCACCGGAGGTGAATACAGGACCATCAGCCATCTTTTCGGGGTAGGCCTAAGCACCGTTTGCCTCTGTGTTCAGGATTTCTGCAGGGCAACCATGGAAATGCTGCTTCCACTACATACGAGAAGTTGGTGGAAATGGCCACTTTTTTCAACAACCGTTGGAGAGCACCACAGTGTGTTGGTGCAATAGATGGAAGCCACATCCATATTTTAGCACCACAAAATTATCCCAAGGACTATTATAACAGAAAATGATTGCACATATTATGGAACTAATAAAGCTTAAATGATTGCCTATAAAAACAACATTACACATTAAATAATCAGTTGCATTCATTTCTTATGGCTCTATCTGCAGTCATTTCTTTCACAACATGGTCACCCCTAGCTGTGACGCTCCCAACCAGCAAGGTCTAAAAACTGTTTGCTTCAGTCAGCCACGCCAGTAGGCTGCAGCACCTCTCCTTTTATGCTGCAGCATCTCGACCTGCAGAGTAACGCACTCAAATTAAATAATAAATAATATACACCACAGAATCTCAGATTATGTACTCTAAAAAGATAAAATAATATAATCTAAGGAAATGGCTCCTACATAACCGGCCTCTAATTGTATTTTGGAGTACCACAATAACAATTATCAAATATACATTTTTAAAAAAGGAGCCTATACAGTCAGGATTTCTATTCATTTCATTAATCCAGTCATCTATCAATATGAGTTGTGTGGTGTTACTCATCCTGTCTACATGATATCATCGTGCCATTCCAACAGCAGACAGATCTTGGTAATTGGCCTCTCCAGCATACTGGTCTGTGTTTTAACTTTGACAGCTCGAACCAATCCTTTAGTGTCTGCCATAGCTTCTAGCACTCTTCCCAGGATCCAAGAGCTACGGGGAGCAGTAGGGTCAACTACCATTACTACATCTCCAGGTGTAAAGCTTCTCCTCTCCTTGCACTATTTATGTCTTTCTTGCATGAGGGGTAAGTATTCCCGGCACCAGCGTTTCCAGAATAAGTCTGCCATGTATTGCACCTGTTTCCATCGGCGTCTTACGTACAGGTCCTTCTTGTCAAAAACTCCAGGGGGCAGAATTGGCTTGGTTTTTAAAAGCAAGATGTGATTTGGGGTTAGAGGCTCCAGGTCTTGAGGGTCATTTGAGACTGTTGTGATTGGTCGACTGTTCAAAATTGCCTCTACCTCACATAAAAGGGTTTG